TCAGACCCACGCAGAGATCTCCAATTGCCCCAGTTGTTTCATCATAAAAGGATCCAGTACATGTGTTGCAATGAGTTGTCATAGCTCATTAGTCTCCTGAACCACATTGCTGGACATTATGTCTACGAGAAATGCCCTTTGTCCTCCAAACACCTAATCTCTAAACACCAAACTGAAGGACAACCTATTCTGAAGATGGGTTTCCCCTTCTCTAAGCAGGATTATGAACAATGAAACATCCTTTCATTCTAGGATAATATTCAAGAAGGTACACACACAAGGTAAGAGATATTAGGTTGGTGCAAAATTATTGCGGTTTCAGACCATGAATTTTAAATCATTATAACTAGTCTCAAACACATCTTTATTAATCAAAATAGGAACCATTACAATCAACACATTTTTGCCAACAAGAAAAAAGTTTGTTTATTCCGATAGTATAAAAATCTGTGCTTCGGGATTCAGCCGACTCTTGGAAAGCATTTTCTGCATCCTGCTGGTTGTGGAAGCATTTTCCCTGCAAAAGGTTGTCAAGATGCTTAAAGAAGTGGTAGTCGGTTGGTGAGAGGTCAGGTGAATATGGTGGATGAGGCAAAACTTCGTAGCACAATTTGCTCAACTTTTGAAGCATTGATTGTGCGATGTGTGGTTGGGCATTGTCATGGAGAAGAATTAGGCTATTTCTGTTGATCAATGCCTGCTGCAGGCATTGCAGTTTTTGATGCATCTCTTCCATTTGCTGAGCATATTCTCAGATGTGGTGGTTTCATCAGGATTTAGAAAGCTGTAGTGGCTCAGACCAGCAGCAGACCTCCAAATAGTAACCATGACCTTTTCTTGGTCAACTCTAGCTTTGGGAAGTGCTTTGGAGCTTCTGCTCAGTCCAGCCACTGAGCTGGCCATTGCCAGTTGTCATATAAAATCCACTTTTCATTACATGACACAGTCTGATAAAGAAATGATTTGTTGTTGTTGTGTACAAGAATAGAAGATGACATTTCAAAATGACGATTTTTTGAATTTCAGTTAGCTCACGAAGCACCCACTTATCAAGCTTTTTTACCTTTCCAATTTGCTTAAAATGCCGAACAACCATAGATTGTTCGACGTTGAGTTCTTCAGCAACTTCTCATGTAGTTGTAAGAGGATCAGCTTCGATGATAGTTCTCAATTGGTCATTGTCAATTTCCAATGGCTGACCACTGTGCTCCTCATCTTCAAGGCTCTCATCTCCTTTTTAAAACTTCTTGAACCACCAGTACACTGTATGTTCATTAGCGTTGTTGATGTTTCAAGCTGTCTTCGCTGCTTTGGACCTATTTTAAACTCATATAAGAAAATCACTCAGATTTGCTTTTTGACTAACATCATTTCCATAGTCTAAAATAAATATAAAATAAACAGCAAATAATAAGTCATTAACCAAAAAAGAAGCAAGAAATGCACATTAAAATAATGTATAACATAACCACATTTATTTAAGAATGTATTTCAGTATCAAATGGCAAATTTAAACAATGCTAAAACCACAATTACTTTTGGACCAACTGAATAGATTTTCTTCATAAAATGTTTATTGAACACCATCCTGATGAACAGATTAGCATAAGCCCCTATGCCCAACACACTGGCTAGAAGCTAGGCCAGGAGCCAGATGTAGCTTTTGTTTGAGAGGGGGAAAAAAAACAAGGTGAAAGCTTATTCTGAGTGGAAGGTGGTCCTGGGATGTAGGTAGAAGGAAGGGGATGTGGGTGCCCTCCAGACCTCCACAGAGGGCAGCTAGCAGCCAGGTATTATGGGCCACAGAGCCCATGATAGAATGGATGCCGAACTTTCTCTCCTCTCTTCTCCTCTCCCCATTGCCTCTCAAAAGTGTTTCTCCCTTTCCCTCACTTCCAGGACCCTAAACTGAATTGTGAAGAGAGAAGATAAATGAGCTGTTCCAGCAGATAAGAGCATCTCTAGCAGTCAGAGACGTTGCACCTTCACCCAGTGGGACTGCACTTCAGAGCTGGAAAAGGCTCTGTCAGACTTCACCCCCAAACTTCCATTTTTAACCTTGTGCACTTTGAGATCTAGGAATGTCAGCAGCCAACTGTAAGAGGATCCACCGCACATGTGTGGGAACGGAAGGCGAGATCAATCAGCCCCGCTGAGGCAGGGGTTGGAGACATCCTTTGAAGCCCTGTCAGGTTCTACAGTAACATAAGTGTGAGGTTCCTGAAAGGACAGAAACAAGAAAGAGTTAACTATCCACTATGAATTTTCTTACTGTGAGAGACTGATGTCTCTCATCTTGGGGTCTTGCTGACTCATGAAAATGTGGCTGAGGCCGGATGGGGCTTGTAGACTCAGTGCGTGTGTGAGTGTGCATGTATCTGTATGCACCTGCCTAGCATGTCCAAAACTAGATACAAATTATCTTTAAATTCTCCATTGATTGTATGTAGGTGTCAGTACCTTTCCCCTGCAGGAGAAGCTTCTGTATATCAGGCACATCCTAGCCATGACTCTGAAACTAAATCAGCCAACAGGGAAATGCGAGACAAACACAGGCAATGCTTCCTGGACACTGTATGCAAGAATATAGTGTGGTGTCTGGACTCAGGGACTCCCTGCCTACTCAGGAGGCTGTGCCTCATTCTGTCCCTGACAGCTCTATTTGTCCACTTTCCCCACCTTGGGCAGGCCCATTGGACCAGCAGCTCTGGAGGGGAAAGGGTGAGGTGCTATTTTAAGGGACCTGACCCTGATCCCTGGGAACAGGGGGACTGCTGTGTTCTAGAGGTTTCCAGAGGTGCCTCAGCAGCTCCTCACTGACCAGGACCAGTGCTGGGATGGAGCTAGGATCCAAGAGACTGAGGAAGGGTACAGCAGCACCTGGGACCCCCACATTCCCTTTCTGGTTTTGTCCACTCTGTGGTAACAGAGCCTGAATTCTCTAACTCATTTCTTGGACCTTCCGACTACCTCTTCTCCTACCAGTACACATCTTCCTGGTTCTTCCCGGGCTGTTTCCTTCTGCCTGCCTCATCCTCTTCCTGCTATCACATCACAGTTTCCCACCAGCATCTCCTTCATCCCAGTCTGACTCTTCTTGCCATCCAGCACCATAGCCTGACCAAAGATCCTAAAGTGGGAGGCTGGGGGGGGCCTGTGCTTTCCAGGTTCCAAGTTTGAAGCAGCTGTGGTATCACAGTTCACCTCACCAGCCTCTGTCTCTCCTTTGAGCATGCTGTTCCCTCTGCTGGGAAACCCTTCTCCTGACCCCCACCCCCACCCCTTCACTGGAGTAACTCTCTAAAGAATTGGGTCAGGCCCAACTGAGGCCCTCCTTGATCTCCTGCAGGTCCTCTCCTGGGACGTTCATTACTCCTCTGAGCACTTGTTGCACCTGTGTCAAGCTCTAACATGGCCCTTACCATATGACACTCAAATCATTGGTAGACGTTTTGTTTCCCTAACCTGACCATGAGCTCTTCAAGGGCAGGACAGGGTCCAAGAGCAAGGATCATGTCTTGGTCATCTTTGGATCTACAGCATGGGTGGTGGCAGTGCAGGGTGCATAGTGGGGACTCAGTATAGCGTGTTGAACTGTGCTGAACACTGATGATAAGAACATGGATGTTTTAGTCTGCTAGGGCTGCTATAACAGAATACCACAGAATGGGTGACTTATTAACAGAAATTTATTTCTCACAGTTCTGGCAGCTGGAAGTCCAAGATCAAAGTGCCAGCAGGTTGGTTTCTCCCGAGGCTTCTCTCCTTGGCTTACAGGTAGCTGCCGCCTTGCTGTGTCCTCATGTGGCCTTTTCTTTGAGCTCGTGTAAAGAGAGAGATCTAGTATCTCCTTTCTCTTTTTATAAGCACATCAGACCAGTCCTATTCAATTAGGGCCCCACCCTTATGACCTTATTTAACCATAATTACCTCCCTGAAGGCCAAATACAGTAACTTTAGGGGTTAGCGCTTCAACCTATGGATTTTTGGAGAAACAATTCAGTCCATAACAACTGGTGAACTTGAATTTAGAAGTGGGTCAGGTGCTGACTTAACCTAGCTATGTGCTTTTAGATAGCAAGTCTTTTATCCTCTGGGAGCCTTAACTTCTGTATCCGTAACATGTGGCCAATTTTACGGGGTTGTGGAAAGGCTGAAATGAGATCATAGCCATTTTGTGGACACTTGGGGTTTTTGTTTTTTCTTTCTTTCTTTTTCCTTTTTATTTATTTATTTTTTTAGACACAGAGTCTTCCTCTGTTGCCCAGGCTGGAGTGCAGTAGCCCAATCATAGCTCCTTACAGCCCCAAACTTTGAATTCCTGGAGGCAAACGATCCTCATTCCTCAGCCTCCCCAGTAGCTGGGACTACAGGTACATGCCACCAAGCCTGGCTAGTTTTGTTTTGTTTTGTTTTGTTTCATTTTTGAGACAGCGTCTTGCTGTATTGCCCAGGCTGGTCTCGAACTCCTGGCCTCAAGCAATCCCCCTGCCTCAGTCTCCCAAAGTGCTAGGATTATAGGCAAGAGCCACCATGCCTGGCCCTAATTATTCCTTGTATTAATATTCACCTTGAAGTTAACAGTGTGATTTAAAATGCATTATATCATTCAGGCTGGGGACAGTGGCTCACACCTGTAATCCTACCACTCTACAAGGCAGAGACGGGAGGATCTCCTGAGGTCAGGAGTTCAAGACCAGCCTGAGCAAGAGTGAGACCCTGTCCCTACTGAAAAACAGTAACAACAAAAAATTAGCCAGGCAACTAAAACTAGAAAAAATCAGCTGGGTGTGGGGATATGCACATGTAGTCTCAGCTTCTCGGGAGGCTGAGGCAGGAGGATCACTTGAGCCCAGGAGTTTGAGGTTGCTGTGAGCTAGGCTGATGCCAGGGTACTTTAGCCCATGCAACAAAGTGAGACTCTGTCTTAAAAATTTTTTAATGGGCATTATATCATTCAACCTACATGCAGTGAACTTTTTTATTACTACAGGGATACCTAAAAGGGAAGTCTGTATAGTTCATACCCACTACTCAAAAAGATTCAAGGCAGCTTATGATGAAAACACCCATGCATAAAAGGGTATTACCTGTCACTTCTCACAGAGGCTGCAGAAAAGGCCCAGGAAGCTGTTGATGAAATGAATGACCACCAGGAGAAGCTGGAGAAGGCTGATGCACAGAAGGACGGAGAAGAAGGACACATGCCAAACAACAGCTTCAGAGGGTTCCAGGCAGACGGAGCTCCAGAGTGAATGGTCATACAAATAATTCCTACCCCAAAAAATGAGACCAGGGATTGGGGAATAAGTAAGGAAAGTCAAACAGGAAACCCCAGCAGAAGGCTAGGCCTCCCCTCCCTGAGTCACAGGACTGGACCCTGTTCTATGAGGGTGGGCATTATTGCTGCATTTGCAATTTTCTGAGTATCAGAAGAGCAAGATGCTTGAATATGTGACCCAAAGGAGTTTGTAAGTTTGTAGTCCATGTGTGTGTGCACCTCTCTCTACGCTTCATTCCTTCCTTCTCTCCTCCCTCTCTTTCTCTTTCTCTCTCCTTCCTCCTCCCTCTCTCTCAACTGCAAATCCAAATCTCCACCCATTTACCTATTATGCAGGTCTTTGAATGGGTAACCGTATGTCCAAGCTTGCGTCTGATTGAAGAATGAGACATCAAACATGCAGAAAGGACCAACTTTCAGAGCTACTCCAGAAGTAATAAAGCAAATCAAGGCTCCAAGCAAAGCCAGGCCACTTGACAACTGAGCAGTAAGTACCTGCATAGGGAGGGAAGAAACAGTAAGCTGAGACAAGGTTGTGGCTAAATGACTTGTGGGGTGATCTGGACAAATCTAACTTCTCTGGTGCCCAGGCTTTGTCCCATCCTGTCACAGGGGGATAGTCCTATCCACAGCACCTCCTTTAAAGCATAACCCAAAGTAGGCTGGCTGATGAGGGGTTCCTACCTAGGGAGAGCCATGAAGGGTGGGAGAGAAGGGACAAGAAGGGGAAACACAGGCACTCGGACCTGGATCTCTCTGACTCAGCTCTTCTGAGCTTCTTAGCAGGCTGGCATCAAAGACTTTTGTGCACAGCCTACAGTCCCTGAGCCTCTAAGTTAAAGAGGCAGATTAGTTATTGCATGCCCACCTATGACTCTTCTAAGAAAAAGCTGTATTTTTTTTTTTTTTTTTTTTTTTTTTGAGGCAGAGTCTCACTTTGTTGCCCAGGCTAGAGTGAGTGCCGTGGCGTCAGCCTAGCTCACAGCAACCTCAAACTCCTGGGCTCAAGCGATCCTCCTGCCTCAGCCTCCCGAGTAGCTGGGACTACAGGCATGTGCCACCATGCCCGGCTAATTTTTTGTATATATATATTTTTAGTTGGTCAATTAATTTCTTTCTATTTTTGGTAGAGACGGGGTCTCACTCAGGCTGGTTTCGAACTGACCTTGAGCAATCCGCCCGCCTCAGCCTCCCAAAGTGCTAGGATTACAGGCGTGAGCCACCTCTCCCGGCCTGTATTTTTAAATGTTCCAAGCTTCCAACCCTGATTCCGCTCTTTCTCAAATCAAGTACAAAAGGAAGGAAGGGGGCGCAGACGAAGGAAAGAAGTGAGGGAAGGAAGGGAGGGAGGGAGAGAAACAGAAATTGCAGTCAAACTCTGAAATGACTCCAGTTCTGTCATTTTTTTTTTCCATTCACAAGTTCCTTTGGTTATTAGGCTGTGCTCTACTCACTTCCCTCCCAAAAGATAGCAATGGGTTTCTTTCCTTGGCAGGTTTTTAGCCTGCTTCCATATAAGCTTCTTTCTTAGGGTCCTAGCTTCCCCTCACTCTTCCCCTCCCACCCCCCACCAAAGAATACATATTTTAAAATTTTGAATAAAATCCACATAGAGTTTTTCCATAGTCATAGAGTCATTTTCCCACTGATGTCAAACTGGTTTGGACATTAGGAGGGATCAGAGAAAGATGTGTAGTAAGTTTTGTCTCTAAGCTAAATGATTCAAGATGAATTAATTGATGTAACTCTAGGGCAGTAGTTCTCAAAATGTGGTCCCTGGAGAAGACCACATCACATTACCTGAGAACTCGTTAGAAATGCAAGTTTTCCTATTCCAACCCAGACCTCTTGAATTGAAAACTCTGGGAGTGGAACCCAGCAATCTGTTTTAAGAAAGCCCTCCAGGGTGTTCTGATGCACACTTAACCTAGGGGAAACACCACTCACCTAGGGGAAAACCAGACATGGCTGAGGACAGATAGTGAATGAAATGTGTAGATGTTTAGATTTAATTCTTTAACATATAACTATGAGTCAGTGGGGTTCCCAGTATGTGGGATGCAGATACCAGAGCAGACTGTGGAGTAGTAAGGAGGTCACATATTCCTACCTGAGACTGAATAAACAATATATCACACACACACACACACACACACACTGAGATATTTCAAATTTATACAGATGATGCTATAATTAATAAAGTACAGATTTATTCTGGGCCTCAGTTTCATTGTCTGTAAAACAGAGGGGTTAGATTAGAATCTAGCAATTAGATGATCTCTGTGAAAACTTCTAGTTGTAAGAGAATATTAATTAAAATAGCCAAGAAATTTTCTATCAGTAACACACAATTACAATGTACATAACTCATGTCCATATTGTCCAATAGGCTAAAAAAACCCATAATTCCTCAAATGTGTATAGACATTTGTGGTCCACTAAGCGTTTACTCTCTTGACTTGATCACCCATTTTACAGATGAGAATCTGAAGCTAGAATAAACAACTTATCAAAGAACTTAGAGTTGTTACGGGGTAACAGTCAGGGCCTGACTTCAAGCCCCAAAACCAAAATTGTCTGCTGACCACTCTGCCTCTGGAGTAATAGGATGTGGGGACATTCTGGGTGTTAGAAGAGTGGAATCTGGTACTTACACTTCGACAGGGACCACTCTTACTGAAGCAGCCATATCTCCAGCCCATCAAGGAGATGAAGGTAGCTGCAGTGAGGACCTAGGGAGGAGAGGAATGTTGGGAATAGACTTGGCAATTTACTTTTCTACCTGTTTCTAGCTGTTGCCCATGTCTGTTGAAAGAGAGTTGTTGGGCACCTCACATGAACTCAATTGTCCTATTGGCTTTGACTATTGGGACCCAATATCGGATGACTAGTTTGATCTGATGCTGGATGCTAACATTCACACCTGGACTGCCTAGTCCCAAGCTAAAATCCAGAAACCACTGACCAGTCTTCCTATCCCTTGGAGCTTCTATAAACCCAAGAATAGTTTGTTAGAATAAGTTTTTTTTTTGCAAAGGATCAAAATACTTTTCCCCCACCACCTCCCTGTTCCACCCCTCGGGGACACTTTGGGAGTTCACACCAGGGAACACCAGACACTTACCATGAGTCCTCCTCCCCAGAGCCCAGAGCCCAGCATGGCATGTCTGCCAATGAGGCCCCTCAACAGGAAAGTCACATCCCAATTAGGAAAGAGGAGTGCCATGTTGGCCATAGCAGCAAACAGGGCTGAAGTCCCAAGGCTCAGCCCCAGGATGCGGGAGCAAGTCCGTGAGCACGCCAACATACAGGGAGAGAAGAGCATTCTGGAACAGATGGAAAAAGAGTTACAGCAGCTGTGCTGCTGGAAGCATGGGACAAGGAAGCTGTAGTAGCATATGGTGGATGGGGAAACAGACTACAGAAACTGTTACCTCCCAGGGTGAGATTAAGATGAGCCAAGGAACTTGCTTAAAAACCCTGCCCCTTATAAGTCTTCCCCAGTGTATAGGATTTAATTGCTTCATTTTCTGCTAACTCTCACACACACATTGCACATCCATATTTTGCTTGTGCCTCTGACAGCCAGTGATTATTTCTATCTGGTAAAGAAAAGCAAATTTTTAAAAGTGTCTTCATGGCCAGGCGCAGTGGCTGACGCCTGTAATCCTAGCACTCTGGGAGGCAGAGGCAGGAGGACTGCTTGAGCTCAGGAGTTTGAGACCAGCCTGAGCAACAGTGAGACCCTGTCTCTACTAAAAATAGAAAAAATGATCCAGGCATGGTGGTGCAAGCCTGTAGTCCCTGTAGTTTCTCAGGAGGCTGAGGCAGGAGGATCACTTGAGCCCAGGAGTTTAACGTTGCTGTGAGTTAGGCTGACACCATAGCACCCTAGGCCATGTGACAGAGCTAGACTCTTTGTCAGAAAAGAAAAAGAAAGGGAAGGGGAGGGAGAGGGGAGGGGAAGAGGGGGAAGGGAAGGGAAAGGAAGAGACCTTGGTTTAGACAAAGGTTTCTTAGACAAAACACAAAACGTACAATGCATAAAAAGTGATACATTGAACTACTTAAAAATTTTAAATGTATTTTTCAAAAGATACCATTAAGAAAATGAAATCACAAAAAAAAAAGAAAAGAAAATGAAATCACAGACTGATATAAAATATAATACATGTTTTGTGATGTGGATGTGGATACATTCATATCTGACAAAGTACTTGTCTCTATATAAAGAACTCTTCAAACACTATCATAAGGACAAACAATTGGATTAAAGATGGGGAAAAAAGACATGAACAGATGCTTGTTTCATCTCACAAAAGAAGCTATATGGGTGAGAACTAAGAACATGAAAAGATGCTCAACATCATTAACATAGAAAAATAGAAATTAAAACCAGAATGAGATACTACTACACACCTATTGAAATTGTTACAACTTAAAAGTTGGACTATACCAAGTGTTGGCAAGGATGTGGAACAACTGGAACTCTCATACACTGCTGGTGAGAATGCAAATGGTACAGCCACTTTGGAAAGTAATTTGGCAGTTTCATGGAAAGCTAAACATCCACTTACCAAATGATCCAGTAATTCTATTAGGTTGGTGCAAAAGTAATTGTGTTTTGGGGCCATGAATTTCAAATCATAACTAGGCTCAAACACATCTTTTTTTTTTTTGAGACAGTCTGACTCTTGCCTGGGCTAGAGTCCCGTGGCATCAGCCTAGCTCACAGCAACCTCAAACTCCTGGGCTCAAACAATCCTCCCACCTCAGCCTCCCGGGTAGCTGGGACTACAGGCACATGCCACCATGCCCGGCTAATTTTTTTCTATTTTTAGTTGTTTGGCTGATTTCTTTTTATTTATAGTAGAAACAGGGTCTCACTCTTTCTCAGGCTGGTCTCGAACTCCTGACCTCAAGCAATCCTCCAGCTTCGGCCTCCCAGAGTGCTAGGATTACAGGCATGAGCCACCGCACCCAGCCTCAAACACATCTTTATTAATCAAAATAGGAACCATTACAATCAACACATTTTTGCCATTAAGAAATAAGTTTGTTTATTCCTAGAGTGTAAAAACCCATGCTTCAGGGTTCCAAGAACTCTTGGAAAGCATTTTCTGTATCCTGCTGGTTGTGGAAGTATTTTCCCTGAAAAAAGTTGTAGAAATGCTTGAAGAAGTAGTAGTTGGTTGGTGAGAGCTCAGGGGAGTATGGTGGACGAGGCAAAACCTCATAGCCAAATTTGTTCAATTTTTGAAGCATTGGTTGTGCTACCTGTGGTCAGGCGTTGTCATGGAGAAGAATTGGGCCCTTTCTGTTTATCAATGTTGGCTGCAGTTTTTGGTGCATCTCTTCCCTTTGCTGAGCATACTTCTCAGATGTAATGGTTTCGCCAGGATTCAGAAAGCTGTAGTGGATCACCACGACCGGCAGCAGACTACCAAACAGTGTCCATGACCTTTTTTGGTGCAACTGTGGCTTTGAGAAGTGCTTTGGAGCTTCTTCTCAGTCCAACCACTGAGCTGGTCATTGCCGGTTGTCATATAAAATCCACTGTCCATCACACGTCACAATCCCATCAAGAAACGGTTTTCATTGTTGTTGCGTACAAAAAGAGAAAGCGAGACTTCAAAATAATGATTTTTTTGATTTTTGGTCAGCTCATGAGGCACCCACTTACCGAGCTTTTACACCTTTCCAATTTGCTTAAAATGCCGAACAACGGTAGAATGTTGGACCTTGAGTTCTTCCGCAGCTTCTCATGTAGTTGTAAGAGGATCAGCTTCAATGATTGCTCTCAGTTGGTCGTTGTAAACTTCCAATGGCTGACCACTGTGCTCCTCATCTTCAAGGCTTTTGTCTCCTTTGCAAAACTTCTTGAACCACCACTGTACTGTATGTTCATTAGCAGTTCCTGAGCCCATTGCATTGCTGATGTTGCAAGTTGTCTCCGCTGCTTTCCCCGACCCATTTTGAACTCAAATAAGAAAATCAATTTAATTAAAGAGAAAAAAATCACTCAAATTTGCTTTTTGTCTAACATCATTTCCATAGATTTATTCATAATAACTTAAAAAGATGAAAACAACTGGAGTGTCCATCAACAGATGTATGGAAAAATAAAAAAATGTGGTATATACATACAATGGAATATCATTCAGCCATAAAAAGAAAAGAAAGTTCTGATACATGCTACATCACTTATGAAACTTGAAAACATTACACTAAATGGAATAAGCCAGCCACTAAAGGACAAATAGCATATGATTCCACTCGAATGAAATATTCAGAATCAGCAAAACGTATAGAGACAGATTAGAGGTTACAAGGGACTAGGGGAAATGAGAGAATGGGGAGTTATTTAGCAATTGCAGAGTTTCTGTTTGGAGTGATGAAAAATCTTGGAAATAGATAATGGTGATAGTTGCACAACATTGCAAATGTAATTAATGCCACCAAATTATACACTTTAAAATGGTCAATGACAAATTTTACATTATATATTTTACTACAATAAAGAAACAGTTAGGCCAGGGACAGTGGATCATGCCTGTAATCCTAGCACTCTGGGAGGCCAAAGGGAGAAGATTGCTTGAGGCCAGGAGTTTGAGACCAGCCCGAGCAAGAGCAAGACCCTGTCTCCACAAAAAATAGAAAAATTAGCCAGGCATGGTGTTGCATGCCTGTAGTCCCAGCTACTTGGGAGGCTGAGGCAGGATTGCTTGAGCCCAGGAGTTTGAGGTTGCAGCAAGCTAAGATGACGCCACTCCACTCCAGCCTGGGTGACAGAGCAAGACCCTGTCTCAAAAAAAAAACCACAAAAACTTAAAAATTAAAAATAACCCAATGTTCAGCAATAGGTGAATAGATAAACTGTGCTATATCCATACATTTGGGTGCTACTACTAAGTAATAAAAAAGTGAATGAATTGGGCCAGGCACAGTGGCTCATGCCTATAATCCTAGCACTCTGGGAGGCTGAGGCTGGTGGATCGTTTGAGTTCACGAGTTCTAGACCAGCCTGAGCAAGAGTGAGACCCTGTCTCTACTAAAAATAGAAATTACTTGGACAGCTAAAAATATATAGAAAAAAAATTAGCTGGGCATGGTGGCACATGCCTGTAGTCCCAGCTACTTGGGAGGCTGAGGCAGAAGGATCGACTGAGCCCAGGAGGTTGAGGTTAATGTGAGCTAGGCTGACACCACGGCACTCTAGCCCCGGCAACAGAGTGAGCCTCTGTCTCAATAAATAAATAAATAAATAAATAGCTACATATAACGACATGAATGAATCACAAAAACATTATATTTAGTAAAGCCAAAAACAAAAGGCTACTCACTATGGATTCAATTTATATGAAATTCTAGAAAGGGCAAAACTAGTAACAGAAAGCAGAGCAGTGGTTGCCAGGTGCTGGGAATGAGAGAGAGGATTAATATAGGGACATAAGGGAATTTTTTGAGGTGATGGAAATGTTCCACATCTATATTCTGGTGGCGAATACAAAATGGTATGTATTGATAAACTTTGTGCTTAAAATCTGTGAATTTTATTGAATTTTAAATATATATATCAATAAAGCTGATTAAAAATTAAAATGCCATATCTAGATAAATTTTTAAAAGTCTTTTCTCCTTTTATTATATTTCTCCCTTTTATATATTCAATGATATATGAACTTGTTGTTTTTTAAAAATATACACACAGCGGGGTGTGGTGGCTCCCCGCTGTGTGTATATTTTTATGCCTGTAATCCTAGCACTCTGGGAGGCTGAGGCGGGCAGATTGCTTGAGGTCAGGAGTTCGAAATCAGCCTGAGCAAGACTCCGTCTCTACTAAAAATAGAAAGAAATTAATTGACCATCTAAAAATATATATAGAAAAAATTAGCCGGGCATGGTGGCGCATGCCTGTAGTCCCAGCTACTCAGGAGGCTGAGACAGTAGGATGGATCCCTTGAGCCCAGGAGTTTGAGGTTGCTGTGAGCTAGGCTGATGCCACAGCACTCACTCTAGCCTGGGCAACAAAGTGAGACTCTGTCTCAAAAAAAAAAAAATTATACACACACACAAAAAAAATACAGTAGTCCCCCTCTTATCCTGGAGAGATATGTTCCCAGACCCCCAGTGGATGTCTGAAAACACAGATGTACTGAACCCTACATATACAGATGCTCCTGACTTACCATGCATGGGGTCACACCCAGATAAACCTGTCATAAATCAAAAATATAGTAAGTCAAAAACGCATTTAATGCTGGCAACACAGCAGACAGTCCCCAGATTACAGTGGTTCGACTTTACTTTTCAACTTCATGATAGC